CATATTTTTTTCTACCTCAATTAGGAAAAAAAAATTATGTAAACTCTATGGGAGTAGTCACACAAAAAATAAAAAATAAAAATAAAAATAAGAATATACAAAAAACACCCTCCAGGAAAAACATCCCCCCAAAAAAACCTTAAAAAGCAACACTATGTTTTGTATTTCTCACACCTCCATCATCTTCTTTGTTTTATTGGCATTGGGAGCTGCTGTGTGTTTGTCACAGAGTAGACTCTTGTTCAAACAGCTTTACTTGTAAACACTGTGTGATGTGTTGTTGGGCAGGTTCAAGGCCTCTGGTACACAAGCAATGCTGGATCCTCCCTGAATCTTCTCTTGGATATTCTGCTATTGCCTGAGTCATGGAGACACTGCAGCTATGACTCAGTAGGACCAGTCCCTTCACTTACTCCAAGAGGTCACAGATGGGTGAGATGTTGGGGAGTGACCACTAAAAACCCTAGACAGATGCCTGAGCAGTAACTGAACTGGTGGTGCTACTGGGATATCCCCTTTAGGTGTGGGCCTGGGCCAGTTCTCCAACACCTGTACTGAGAGGTGGGGCCAGCTCTCCTGCGCTGAGGTCTTTAAGGGTCCATATTCTCAGCGTAGGGTCAGTTCTCTGGTGCGGAAGTGACTCTCCTAAGGCCAGTGATGGGTGCAGCCCATTCAGCACGACACTGGTACTTCAACACATGGTTCATTACATGGTTCTCATGGCCCCTTTTGGTAACATGGACAACAGACAGCAACACAGACCCCAACTGCATGAGGACCAGGGACCCAGACATAGCCAGCAAAAGCAGCTTGGGCTCAGATGTCACCATGGGCCCAGGAGAGCAATGCAGGCCTCTTACATTGTCGTGGTCCCCTGATTCCAGCAGCACCCCAGGTGGAGCCCATATGCCTGGCAGTTGCACGACCTTTGATGGTAACAGGTACCATGGACCTCAACAAAGTCCCTGGCTGTGATAGGGTCAATGATCCAGACATGATCATCTGCTGCAACTCAAGCTTGGATGACATCTCCGTGGACCTGGGTGTTAGCTCAGGTTATCCCTTATTGTGATAGCCCCTGGGGCCATATGCGGAAGTTTAGACTCTGAACATCCTCATGGCCTTTGGTGGTAATAGGCGCCATGAACATTAACACAGACGGCAGCTGCAGCAGGGCCATTCACCCAGACATGACCCTTGGCAGCAGCTCAGGACTGGGTAGCACCAAGGCCCTGGTTGGCAAGCAAGCTTCCCACATCAGCCTTTTCCTCACTGCCTTTGCCTCTTCACACCTGCCTTTTTCCACAGGACATGAACCATTTTGCCTCTCTCTCACTCCCGTACCCTAGCATATATTTGCTCACTATAATGGTGCCAACTGCCTGGCACCAAAAGGCATGGAGCATGCCCATGGTTTCTTCTCCTTTAAAAGTACAAACAGCCCCAGATAGACACATCTTAGTAGAAGTTTTTAGTAGTAAATGTCTATGCATATCCTCAAAGACTCTGCCTCTGAGTGGTGTGTGTCATGTTTGTTCTAACAGCCATCACTCATGCCTCAGTAGGTGTTTGCTGTTGGGGCTCTGATGTTTTCAGTTCTAACCCAACTGATAGCAGTTGTGAACCTCTGGGTTTGTCTGTCTCTTCAGATTGTGCATGGTGATGGTTTACTTATGACCACATGGACCATTATTCTCAAAATTTGTTCTCCCAAAAAACTTGTTGAGTTTCAATTTGCTGAGCTTCTCAGTTTGTTTAACATAGTCCTCCTGAAAGGGCATCAGATGATTTTTAAACACTTTGTATTTGTGATATGAAACTACACACCTATAATCATCCTTTACAATGGCTTTTATAAAAATTTCAAATTAATAAAGAGTACTTTACTCACATAATTAACAATATATGTGCTTTCTCCCCACTCATCTTATTTGATCTTTTTTTCCCAATTAATACTTTTAAAATACTTTCTACATTTGAATCCTTATTATCAGCCCCAGTAAGCATGTTGTATATAATAATGGGACATCTTGAAGTCAGCTATTTGAAAACTTTCTCCAGCAATAGTACATTACTTTTCAGTTCAGGCTCACTCAAGTTTCCAGAACACATGTAGAAAGCAGACAGATTTGTTAGCAGAATTCTAGATGTAACTGGCCTTTAGTCCAGTTCTCAATACAGACTTTATGACCCTCTAACATTTCAGGAGTTGGGCCTCCACTGTCACTACTTTCTTGGAATTTATAATTCTGAACTAGTGTGTGATTATTTTGTAACTTTTGTCATCAGGAAGAATGCAGAATGAGGTTGTGGGATGCATGTTATTCAGTTTTGATTGTCTGTCTGAATTAATGATCACTCCTGGCATTAAATAAATGTCTTTGAGAGTGTTTCCAGGGAGTTTAACCAAGAAGGCACTGATGCCGCTGGGCGATCAGTAACGAAAAGTCCCCAGACTATCTTAATACAAAATGTACAGCTTTAATAAACGGAAGGAAGACTTACACCAGCTTACACCAGAATCCAAACGATCCGTCCGCACGCAGGAGCCAGGTGAGAGAGCTAGCGGGAGCGCATTCGCCAGGTTTATAGGTAAACTTTAGCCTAAGGATGACACACTCTGAATGAGGATAGCAACATCCTATGACTGGTCATCCAGAGTGAATAAGAGGAGGAAAAGAAAAATCTAGCTGCATATTGCCTGTTCTCTGCTTTGGAGTCTGTACCAAAGACCACACTGCTTCCCTACCATGCCTGCCCACTGAAACCAATTACATTGCTCAGAACTCTGAAATAAATAAACCACTCTCCTTAACATTGCTTTTGTCAGGTATTTTGTCCCATCATTGAGAAAAGTGACTAACATGAGTGGCATGCTTTGATTATAGTGGAGTGTGCATAGATGGACCAGATTATTATAAGGAATTTTAGGCATCATACACCCACAAGGCTGGAGACGAACTCTAAGATGGCCTCTGTGATTGGATGTGAGTTTAACAGACAAATTTATGACAAGACCCAAAAGAAGACAAAGGGTAATTTACGTGGTAAATACTAATAGTTATTAACTTATCCCTGTTGTACATTAAAGATGCTTTCATCACTGGTGCTCAGAGATCTGAGAAAGAATCTCAAATGTAAAGCCTTATGTGACAGTTTCAGGTATTCAGAATGTTACTGACTTTGTGGTAATAGCATCTCAGGTCTCTGTGTGCTGTTGCATAAATCTGTGTCACTTGTGCTTCTTTGAATACTTGTAAATAACTTCCAATTAATTATTCCTAGGCATTCTGGTATCCTACAGCAGGATGAATTAAATTAGAATCACTCTGTGGTATTCTTGATAGAATTATGCTAAACAGCTTAGTATTAAATTATATAAAATAGGAAACATGTATAATTTATGGTTATCACAGTAATTACAATAAAATATAAAATCTCCTTGGTAGCTTTTAACAAAGTTGATTTCCCCAAAGCATGCATGTATGTGTATGTATGTATGTGTGTGTATATATATATATGTATCATCTGTGATGGATTGATGGATATCTTTGTGGTTTACATAAATGAATTTAGAATCACTTAGGAAACATACTTTGAGTTTGTCTGTGACAGAGAATTTTCAGAAAGTAGAAAGGATTCATCTTACATGAGGATGGTAGAGTTTCAAGACTGCTGTTTTGTATAATTGTAAATGGTTTATGAGTACTGGATAGGGCTTTTTAAAAACTTCTTATTTTTACTGATGTTACCCTAAAACTGGTCTCATAATAGTGATATCAGCATCATGACATCATATTAACCAACTGGAATTGTTGTTGTGGGACCCCATTTTCTTCCTAGAAACTTCAAAGATTACTACAGGAAAATCTAATGTTCATTGTGGAAAACTTAGTCATTATTCATATAGACATATATTCAATGAAAGATATTATGTAGACAAAATGGACATGTAGAAAAGTAAAATATTTCCTTAAAATCTATCTTCTTTTTGTCCCATACCACATGACTCCAGACATGAGACATAAATCCTGAATTTTTCTTTTAACAACATGCTTGGATTTAGAGAAGGAAAGCCATCATCCAAATCTAAAGCCTGTAGAAGGAGGGCTGCTTTGTTGTTCCTGGCTGTATAGCCCCAAAATAATCACACAGAAACCATATTATTTGCAATACTGTTTGACCAATAGCCTAAGAGTATTTCTGGTTAACTCATATCCTAAGCTAACACTTCTCTATTAATCTGTGTATCATCACATGGCTGGAACTTACCAGCTAAAATTCTAGCATCTCTCTCTGGCAGGGCTACATGGCTTCTCCCTGACTCCTCATTCTTTCCACCAGCATTCTGTTTAGTTTTCCTCATCACATGGCTGGAACTTACCACTAGCATCTGTCTCTGGCAGGGCTACATGGCTTCTCCCTGACTCCTCATTCTTTCCACCAGCATTCTGTTTAGTTTTCCCCACCTACCTCTATTCCCCTACAGCTCTGTTATAGGCTCAAAGCAGTTCTTTATTCATTAATGGTAATCAAAGTATACAGAGGGAAATCCCACATGACCTCTCCTTTTCTGTTTAAATAAATAAGAAGGTTTTAACTTTAACATAGTAAAATTACATATAACAAAACATATATCAAGCAAGAATTACAGTTATAATATTTTTATCATAACTAAGGAAAACTATAACTATAAATTCTTCAACACCATCAAAAACCACAGAAGAATATAATATTACCTAAGTAAACAGGAAGTGCATTGTAAGCAACTTCCAAAACACTAGAAATGACAGAGACATCTTGCTGCCTGGACAGTTACCCAAAGTTCTGTACCATTGGGGCACCCTTCTTCAGCTTACAGGTCCATAGTATCTGGCAGACTTTTTTATGAAGCAAAAAATTTCAAAGACAGTTCCACCTATATTGGAACTTTCTTCTGTGTCCTGTAGAATTTCCAGGAGACTCTTTCATGAAGGAGGTACCCCAAAGGACCATCTCACCTTTAAGCAAGTTTAGCGGTCATTTCTCCGTGGGTCCTGCATGTTTAGTTCATCAAGCAGTCCAGGCAAGAACAGTTTCTTAACCAAAAGGCTAACCAAGTCATCAAGAGCCTCTTCAATGTCCATATTCCTCTTGAAGTAGACTGGTGCTTCCAGGAGCATATGAGTCTCATTGTCTTGAAATGTCCTAAGTTATTAAAACATTTTAAATGTCATATTCTGAAGGTCTCTGAAAGATTTGAAAAATTCCTATCCATCTGAAATACATCTCTTTACATCCAATCATACTAACATGACTACAAGCTTGACTATTACAGACAATTATCTATTTACCTGTTTCTTAATTATACATTATTAAATGAATTTCACAATCACAACACCTTAATCGAGAGCAGAGCAGAAATATACATATAACAAAATCGACCTTAAATTTGTATCAATAAACCAAGATCTAAACCAAGATCTCTATAGAGTATTCCCCTTTAAGTATAAACCATCATTTATAAACAATATTTGGGAATATGGGTGAAATACTTCTCCAAACTTCTTCTTGATGTTTATTAGGTGAAATAATTTTTGGAGTGTTCATGGTGACCTCTTGGGGAATCATAGTCTATAAAATATGGAAGCATCAACAGGTTCTCATTCTCTGTAAAAACAAAAGAAGAACCTCTTTTCCAAAGCAACATATTCTTATACTCAAATTTTGAATTCAAGAAACCTTTAAGACATATATGTTGGTTTTGCTTAGCAGTCTGTACAATGAAATGTCTCTCTGTAATTATTGATATCTGTCTTGCTATATGTAATTTAACTATGTTAAAGTTAAAACCTTTCTTTTTATTTAAACAGAAAAGGGGAGGTGAAGTGGGATTTCCTTCTGTATGCTGTGAATACCATTGCTTAACAAAGGATGGCTTTGGACCTGTAGCAGGTAGCACTGAGATAGGCAGGAAAAGTTAAACTGAATCCTGGGAGAAGGAAGGCAGAATCAGAGAGAAGCCATGGAACCCCTGCCAGAGACAAACATGCTGAAACTTTACTGGTAGGCCATGACCTTGGAGTGATGCACAGATTAATGGAGATGGGCTAAATTAAGACGTAAGAGTTAGCCAATAAGAAGCTAGAGCTAATGGGCAAGTAGTGATTTTAATTTAAATATTATAGTTTCTGTGTGATTATTTCAGGATTAAGCGCTGGGAACTAACTAGCTCCCTCCTTTCAACAAAAGCCAGCTCTGATTTTTAAGTAGAGATGTATACATGTCCAGATATCAAATTTTACTGTGCAGATGATACAGCATAAGTATTCATTCTATACTCATAAGTCAGATTTCTCTTTGCTTGGTGATTTTTTTCTGGATAGTTATTTTTTCATCTTTGGGCATATAGATGTTCAAGGTCCCTTGACACTTTGAAGATGTGCAGAGAGAATGAAAGGACCCTGCCCCTGCTCTTATAAGGCTTTCTTACCACCTGTATGATTGTAACTTCTTTGGATGAGTTCACATTTCTCTGTCTCAAGAGATTTCTCTCTTTCAAACAAAATCTTTATTAAATTTGATGGTATCCATAGCTTAATCTCCTGTAGAAACAAGAGCAAAACCCCTTCCCCAACATAGCACATCTCCTGCTTTCCATCATGCGGTCAACACATCCTTTAAATATACCAGCTGATTTAATTCAGAAGTTTTTTCTATTATCCAATGTCTGTTTGCTGCTATTGTTCCTTTCTCATTAGCGTTAAAAAAATCAAGGTTAATAAAACATTATACAACCTATTTCTTGGGGTATTTTCCATCCCTTTCTGTTTGTTTAGCATATTCTTTATAGTTATATTTGATCTTTCTATAATGGCCTGACTTGTAGGATTATTTGGTAAACCTGTAATATGCTTTATATTATAATAAGCAAAAAAATGTTTCATTTTCTTAGATACATATGCTGGAACACTGTTTGTCTGCATTTGTACAAGTATACCCATGATGGTCATAACTTCTAATAAACATGTGATTACTGAATCAGCCTTCTTTAAGCTCAAAGTAGTTGCCCATTGAAAGCCTAAAGTATCAATGGTGTAGTGTAAATATTTTAATTTTCCAAATTTTGTAAAATAGAACACATCCAACTGCCAGATTTCATTCCTTTGAGTACCCTCTGGGTTGCTCCCTGCAGGTAATGGTATTTGGTTTTAGAAAGAACAAGTAGGATATCTCTTTATAATCTTCTTCCCTTGTTGCCATGTAATAGAGAACTCTTTCTTTAAACCCTTGCTACCAACGTGATGTTTCTTATGAAATTCTGAGGCCTTCAGGAAACTTCCAATCAATAATTTGTTAATTTCTGCACAACCTTGAATTAGAGGACCTTGCAGATCCATATGGAACTGGATATGTGTTATGTATATGGGGCAAAGCCTTATCCTGATTATGTATTGAACCTGATGAACAATGAAGTCAATTTTGTATCATCTGGTATGAGTTCAGCAATTTCAATATGTAAGACAACTCTTTCTGCATATTACCAAACAATAACTATATTGAAAGGCTCTTAAAATTCCTTAGTACCATGAGACTAGCATAAACTCTGCATTTTATATAGAATTGTTTTTTTTCAATTTTCTTTATTTTTATTTTTTAATTAAAATTTTTCACGTCTTCCTCTCCTCCCACTTCTCTCCCTTCCCCCCACTCTCCCTCCACCTCCTTCTCCAGGCCAAAGAGCAATCAGAGTTCCCTACCCTATAGGAAGTCCAAGGTCCTCCCTGATCCCCCCCAGGTCCAGGAAGGTGAACATCAAAACAGACAAAGCTCCTACAAAGCCAGTCCATGCAGTAGAATCAAAGCCCAGCGCCACTGTCCTTGGCTTCTGAGTCAGCCTCCACCATCTGTCACATTCAGAGAGTCTGGTTTGATCACATGCTCCATCAGTCCTATTCCAACTGGCCATGGCAAGCTCCCATTAGATCTGTCCCACCGTCTCAGTGGGTGAACACACCCCTCATGGTCCTGACTTCCCTGCTCATGTTCTCCCTCCTTCTGCTATTCATTAGGACCTTCGGAGCTCAATCCAGTGATCTAATGTGGGTCTCTGTCTCTATCTCCATCCATCACCAGATGAAGGTTCTATGATAATATGCAAGATATTCATCAGTGTGGCTATAGGACAAGGTCAGTTCAGGTACCCTTTCCTCTGCTGCTCAGGGAACAAGCTGGGGACATCTCCTTGAACACCTGGGAGCCCTTCTAGAGTCAATTCCCTTGCCAACCCTAAAATGGCTCCCTTAATTGAGATATATACTTCCCTGCTCCCACATCCACCCCACCTTCAACCCAAACATCCCATTCCCTCAAGCTCTTCCCATCCTCCTCTTCTCTTTTCTCTCCCCTCATATCCTCTTATCCCCACCACACCCCCACCCCCATGTTCCCAACCCCTGCCTGGCAATTTTGTCAACTTCCAATATCCAAGAGAATAACTATATGTTTTTCTTTAGATTTACCTTCTCATTTAGCTTCTCTAGGATCCCAAATTATAGGCTCAAGGTCTTTATTTATGGCTAGAATCCACTTATGAGTGCGTACATACCATATTCTTCTTTTTGGGTCTGGGTTACCTCATATAGTAAAGTGTTTTCTATTTCCATCTATTTGCATGCAAAATTCAAGGTGTCATTGGTTTTTACCGCTGAGTAGAACTCTAAAGTGTATATGTGCCACACCTTCTTTATCCATTCTTTTATTGAGGGGCACCTAGGTTATTTCCAGGTTCTGGCTATTACAAATAGTGCTACTATGAACATAGTTGAACAAATGCTTTTGTAGTATGATTGGGCATCTCTTGGGTATATTCCCAAGAGGGGAATTTCTGGGTCCTGAGGTAGGTTGATTCCCGGTTTCCTGAGAAACTGCCATAGTAATTTCCAAAGTGGTTGGTCAAGTTTGCATTCCCACCAATAATAGATGAGTGTTCTCCTTACTCCACATCTTCTTCAGCATAAGCTGTCATTGGTGTTTTTGATTTTAATCATTCTGATAGGTGTAAGATGGTATCACAGAGTTGTTTTGATTTGCATTTCCCTGATCGCTAAGGAGGTTGAGCATGACGTTAAGTGTCTTTTGGCCATTCGAACTTCTGTTGAGAATTTTCTGTTCAGTTCAGTGTCCCATTTTTTAATTGGGTTAATTAGCATTTTAAGGTCTAGTTTCTTGAGTTCTTTATATATTTTGGAGATCAAACCTTTGTCTGATGCGGGGTTGGTGAAGATCTGCTCCCATTCAGTAGGATGCTTTTTTGTCTTAATGACAATGTCCTTTGCTTTACAGAAGCTTCTCAGTTTCAGGAGGTACCATTTATTCACTGTTGTTCTTGTTGTCTGTGCTACTGGGGTTCTACGTAGGAGGTGGTCTCCTGTGCCCATGTGTTATAAACTACTTCCGACTTTCTCTTCCATCAGGGTCAGTGTGGTCAGATTTATATTGAGGTCTTTGATCCTTTTGAATTTGAGTTTTGTGCATGGTGATAGATATGAATCTATTTTCATTCTTCTACAGATTGACATCCAGTTATACCAGCACCATTTGTGGAAGATGATTTCGTTCTTCCATTGTATACTTTTAGCTCCTTTGTCAAAAATCAGGTGCTCATAGGTTTGTGGATTAATATCTGGGTCTTCGATTCGATTACATTGGTAAACATCCCTGGTTTTGTGCCAGTATCAAGCTGTTTTCATTACTGTAGTTCTGTAATAGAGTTTGAAGTCAGGGATGGTAATGCCTCTGGAAGTACTTTTATTGTATAGGATTGTTTTGGCTATCCTGGGTTTTTTGTTTTTCCATATGAAGTTGATTATTGTTCTCTCAAGGTTTGTGAAGAATTTTGTTGGGATTTTGATGGGGATTACATTGACTCTATAGACTGTTTTTGGTAGAATTGCCATTTTTATTATATTGATCCTCCCAATCCAAGAACAAGGGAGATCTTTCCATTTTCTGGTATCCTCTTCAATTTCTTTCTTCAAAGACTTAAAGTTCTTGTCAAATAGGTCTTTCACTTCCTTGGTTAGAGTTACCCCAAGATACTTTATACAATTTGTGGCTATTGTGAAAGGTGATGTTTCTCTGATTTCCCTCTCTGCTTCTTTGTTCTTTGTGTATTGGAGGGCAATTGAATTTCTGGAGTTGATCTT